TGTGTGTGTGTGTGTGTGTGTGTGTGTGTGTGTGTGTGTGTGTGTGTGTGTGTGTGTGTGTGTGTGTGTGTGTGTGTGTGTGTTGAATTCTCTGCTCCTTCACACGCACGCACACAGAGTTTGAGTGTTCCAAGATGTGAACTAATCCAGTGATTTCGGAGCTGTATGGGACGATTGTTTGGTTTTGTGCCTTGCAGTAATTACGTAGGAAGTTGCGGCCATCGAGCGCCGCTGCGCTCCTTTTCAGGGAGAAGACGCGAAAGGGGGCGAGGGAGAGCAAGGCGCCGCCGGAGTGAATGGCGAGGAAGCAGAGTGGAAGCGGCCGTCGAGCCGCACCAAATGTTCCGTCGCGGAACCCGGCAAATTTTTGCGCCAATTCTATTTACCCCGAATGAGTTAACCGTGAGACATGCATTTGCACTTTTAGGTTCATTCAGGATCGACGTGATGAGAATCGAGTACTAACTAGATAGCAGCCCGCGGCGCCCCAAATCAGTTCAATGTAAAGATGTCCATTAATGCAAGCATTCACACATAAGGACAATGGCGGCCAGGTGCATGCGTGTCCATATTTGGCACCGGTTGCTAAGCTACCAAATGGGTAGTAGCCTGGCAGCTTAGGTAAATAAAAATTGCTTTTCCTTAAGGATGAGGATGAGTGAAAATAAATATACACACATACACACACACAAAACCAATTTTCAAGTTATGGCTTGTGGACCACAGTTTGCGCTTAAAAGGACGTCCTCGTCCCTGCAGCACGTCGATTGGCTGCGTGCCTCCGGAACATGCAGCTCCGTCGTCGGCAGTCTTTTTCTTTTTCCAAAATAGAGGTGCTATGCAACAGCAAAAACAGCCAGGTGCCTGCCAGAAACAAGCGCACAAGCCACCAGTGCGACGCCTCTTTGGCATGCTTGAGTCTTCTCAAGTCAGCGCACATACACACGCGCGCGCGCACTCACACGCAGCAGCGGTTTTATGAATGGGCTGCTTGTGAAAAGCCAGCTGAGGCTGGCGAGCCTTCATTCACGGCACCTAAGAGACGCTTGTTTTTGTGCTCACTTTTTTTTTTTTTCTTTACAGCATGACGACATCTCTTGATGTCATTTATTCACCTGAACTTTAGCTGCCGCGAATGCAACTTTTGGTTAACTTATTTGGGGAACCTATCATCCATTATTCTGATCTTGCTGTTGACGTGAGGGGAGGAGCTTCATTTCGTCATTCCATAGCCCTGTCTCATGGAAAAGTAGTGCATCGCCGTCATCTGGTGACATCGACAGAGTCAGTAACTAATTTGTTGTAGAAGAAGGCCTGACGTGCCGCTTTAATGCTGTTATGCAGTTCATGAAGTACTTGGAGAAGGGAGGCAGTCAAGTTGGGTCAGAAACATAGCTTCATGAATAGATAGAAGTCTGTGTGGGGTGGGGGGGGTGCTTACTCTTTCTGGAACCATAATGAATAGGCTCACAATGATGAAGAAGAAGAGGAGACTTCCAATTGAAGTTGTCAAGTTCAGACGGGCTGATGTGTTCAAAGGCTGCCAGGAAAATCAGGAAATTTGCATCTCTGCTTGAGTTTCACTCTTCGTTTGTTTGTTTGCTGCACAGTAAGATGAGCAATTTTTTTTGGCCACTATTCCTGTTTAAATCCTGTCCAGTGTGTGTGTACACACACACAC